TCAACTATAACCATATGGAAGCATATAAACGCCATAGTATTCGGTGGAGCCACCCCATCATAATTGCGGTAATCAGCAGAATCGAGAGTGAGGGCCACACTTGGAAGCAAGCGGGTATCCCGAGGGGAGAGCTGGCCACCTTCTTTGGTGCCCTATCGAGGTGGGCTAGCAAGAGGAGTTAGATGAAGATGAACCGTGGTAGCGTGTGGCGTGCTTTTTTGCGGGCGCGAGAAAGCTTGCCCCGGTTGCACTGCACCTGCAATTGTATATATATGCACATTTGCTAATTGCAAACACGCCAATTGATTTTCCTTGGTGAGGGTGAGGCAGCGGAGAATCGAGGCCCAACCAAGGGCGACGTAGTCAGTCGCGTCGCTGTCCCTAGCGAGGCCCGAGCCATGAATGAGCGTGAGACAAGAAAATTGGGTCCGGGGTGTCATCCATGGGAGCGAGTGGAAGGATTGAGTTCGTAGAGCGGGATAGCTGCCGGTGCCAGTGATAGTAGTGTTTAGAGGGAATGTCGAAGTGGTGGCAACATGGTTGAACGACAAGGCATGCACGGGAATGCCGCAAAACATTGGTGGTGGCAGCAAGCGATTTGGTCGGCACCAATCAGCGGGGTGAAAGGCGGTTGAAGAAAGAAGAAGGTTGGATGTCCGTTGGATGAAAAATCTAATGCCCAACAATCGACCGACTCCCAATTGTTTTTACGCAACTTCTATATAGTCGGTGCCATTTTCTTTTAGGCAATATAGTTCATGCCTTCTGTTTGTGGTGCAAACATGTTGTGCGCATCCGCCCATTATTTCCCATTTCCCATATGAGTAGAACGTAATGCATCGAGACCTTCCTGGCCCGGCACCTTTTGCCCCATAGGAGTACATGAATCCTTCGCCGTGCGTGCTTGCATGACTCATGGCCCGTCCAAAAAAAGAAAAGAAAAAGGTCAATAGGTCACACGTAAGTCAAGCTAGCTCCTGCATGGATTGTTCGGGAGAAAGGTCAAGGATCACCATGGTCAAACGCAGCTGCACTCCAGCTTCCGGCGAGTTTATTTCAGTGTTCGGTTTTTGGAACATGGTGTGTATATGATTTCGGCTCAGAAATTTGCGAAAATCACATCATTTAAGTCCTAGAAAGTTACGATAATCATGTGGAGAATGGACATAAGCATTTTTTATATATAATCATGTAGAGAATGGATATAAGTATGTGCATAAAGTTTGCAAATTGGCCATAGGCACAGTATAAGTCACAATAACTTCTGTCGAAACAACCGTCTTCTGGTTGTTTTTCCTACGTCATGTTTAAGTTTCAAAATTAACGTGCACATTTGTAATTGTTCCACCGTTATGACTTGGCAAATCCGGACCCTCAAACGCTCACGGAGGCAACCGGACGCGTCAGCGGGCATTGACGGGTCATATCTCATACTTGGTGCTATGCATTCGAATACCTCATATTTCATCTCCTACATCCGTACAAACCATACAAAAGAGTTCCTACATACCACACTAGTCCATACTAAGTTTTGTCGGCGGAGATGTCCACGATGTCCATGCTGGGTGTCGGTTAGTTGGGCACGTTGGAGGGATCCGGATCCTCCTTCTCATACATATAAGCGAGCCTCTCGTCAACGTCTGTGGCGTGCTCCGCCTCCACCTCATGCAGACGACGGCGCTTGGCCTTCGCCCCTGATTCCCACCAGAGGGGATCGAGGATCGCCTGTTGCTCAGCCTACATATCCGCGGCCCCAGTGCCCCCCACGTCCTCCTCGTGCTCCTCCTCCTCCTCCTCCTCCTCCAAGTTCTCCTCCGGATCAACCGCATACGAAGGTAGCCCCGCGGCGATCCGGTCTTCGTGCCTTGCCCGGATCTGCTCAAGGAGTTGCTGTCGGTGCTTCGGCGTCAGATCTGGCTAGCTCCTTACCCGACGGCATGGTTGCATGCATGGCTACTAGTTGTAGCGGTGAGTGGAAAGTGGTTGTGGTTACAGACGGGAGGGGGGAAATGGGGACAGATAGGGTTTTGGTGCCGGCGGTCGGCTTAAATAGTCGGGCTTTGGCCTTGAGCGGCGAGCCAAAGCGGCGCCACACGGCGTTCACACCCCCACCGGAAGCTTCGGCTGTCGGCGCGTTGCGTTTCCGGGCTATTTCGTGTGGGACCCGACCGTCAGTACGACGTGACGGACGCTCCCGGTGGCCATAGCCTCCCCATATTTGGGTTGAATATTAGGGGTGCCGGTCGGCCCGGGAATTTGAGGCCCGTTTGAGGCGCCCGTCTGGGTCATTTTTTGTGACCGAGCCGTCCGCCCGGGCATATGAGGGGGGTTTGAGGCATCTGGTGTAGATGCTTTTACATGCATGGGTTTTTCTTAATTTTCCAAACTTAAATGATCTGTTTTTGGTAAAATTTTGAGTTGAGGTCATTTCACGTTATTTTCTAAACTTAGATGATTTCTTGACTAATTGTCCATCTTTATTGTGTGAAGTAATTATCCATTTTCCATATGTATTTGCAGGTTATTTTTTGAACAAAAGAAGGGCCACCCCCTCTGATTTCCATATTTGTATGTGCAGGTTATTTTTTGAACAAAAGAAGAGTCACCCCCTCTGATTTTCCATATGTATGTTTCAAAATCAACCTGCACATATATACTTGAATCCATCCTCTACATGCTTGATTTTCCGTAGTTTTCAATACTTAAATTATGTGTTTTATGTCAAAATTCTCCATCAAGGTCATTTCCCGCAAAAAAGGTCATTTCAGCACCCAAAAATGACTTCAAAAAAAGAAAGATAAACATGACTCTCTTGTTAGAAAGTAACTATCCATTTTCAACATGTATACACAGGTTACTGGTTGTCTAGCTCACCACTGCAAGTGTGTTCAGTGTTGTAGCCTGCGCCCAGTCTTCGAAACCCGTCAGGAGCGAATTTCCGGTACCTCGTCTTGGGTGTGTTTCTTCTATAAAAATATGTCTTGGATGTTGGTGTCCATGAATTTTATTTTTTTTAGCTCACCACTGCAATTTAACTTGCTCGTGTCTTTTTTCTCTTTATCACATACTAGTACTAGTGACTAACTTATTAGTGACTACAAAACTCTAAGGGCATGTACAATGATGCTATCTTAGGAGTGCCACGTATGATAAATGATGAGGTGAAGGAGAGTATTTAAGAGAAGACAAGAGATGATCTTTTAGAACAATTTGTCTCACCATGTTTTGAGGAATAACGAGTTATTGAAGATGAGGCTAAGGTGGTGTTTGTTTCTCTAGTCCTAGGACTTTTTCTAGTCCCTGGGACTTTTTAAAGACTCTTAAGGAGGTGCTTCTAAGGACTTTTAGTAAAAAGTCCCAAAAAAGTCCCACCCTGTTTGGTTTGCTAGGGACTTTTTCTAATCCGATCCCTACATTAAAATGTCCCTGAAAAAAACACCCCCTAAGATATAACTCATTAAAGACATACTTTTTTATTATCTTTAAATTACATGCAAAACTTGAAATAAAACTATCTTATCAATCATTGTACATACCCTAACTAACCTAATTGTCATCTATTGGTTCCTTCAAGATCTCAAGCCCGGGCTCACACGGACATGTTTTTGCCGGGCAAAGGTAAGTCGAAAACGACAGAGACCATTTCCGTGAGATAAACGTATATATTACTCCATCCGTTTTTAAATATTTGTTTTTTTACATTTCAAATGAACTATCACATACGGATGTATATAGACATATTTTAGAGTGTAGATTCACTTATTTTGCTTGGTATGTAGCCAGAGTGTGTTTGTTTCCAGGGACTTATTGGTTTTGAGACTTAAAAAAGTTCCTATAAGTCCCACCTAAACCAAACACAAGGGACTTATTGGGACTTATTATGGTGATTTGGGACTTATCAAATAAGACTCTCAGGGAGAAGCTTATTGAGACTTATCCCGGGCCAGACCTACCCGCGTCGCTCCAGGCTCGTTCCCTGCATGCCGCCTGCCTCTCGGTCCAATCGTCGCCGCCGCCCCGCTGCTCGCCCCGTTGCCGCCCCGCGGCTCGCCCCGTCG